AAATCAGGGCATTTCCGCTCTTCCCCGCTTATGACACGAAGTATAATCAATGGACATAGGAAGCACAAGATCCTAAAGCGCCAACGAGATCTCTACTTTCTGGAGTGTGCAGGCTGCATCCGACGTGCTTTACTGATCAAACAGGTGCTGATCTGATTGCGTGAACAGACGTCTCGATTCACTGGCAAACGGATGCCTTTCAATGTATGATCTGAGCTCTTTCCTTGAGTGTGTACTCGGTTTATACTGTCACCTGGTGGTGGCGCCTTGTTTGCCAATTTATAAGCGTAGACCCAAGTGACCAATCCGTAGGGCAAACATGTTAGTAACCCATGCTTCCGCGAATATTTCGCATATCATGTTTGAAGCAGAGCTCGATCGAAAGATAGGTCGCATTGCCGCGCAACCGATCGGTCTTTTTTCCACGTATTCTTTTGAAAAACGAAGCGTATCCGCTTCGTTAGACTGACATGATACGTTGGGCGAATCTTGCTTTTTGAATATGATGATCTGTTAGATTTGAGTGCTCAAATACCCAGGCAAAGCCGAGAAAGCAACAACAAAAGTCGATAGCGGAGGGACGGTACATGGCTCGTCATACTCAAAAGCCCCTCTTAAAAGCACTGCCCCTTGTGAGAAAGGTGGCCAGCACCACATGAGAGCCTCTTTGCCGCATTGCTACTTGTACAAACACTGAATGAACGGCTGCATGAATTTATAAAGATTGCACCACTTGATCAGCTAACTTCATTTGGGAAAAGCAGGTCTAAAAGGCGGAAGACTAGATAAATTCAGGAGTTAGATTTGGTCTCTTTGTTTTCCTTGGCAAAATGGAACGGAGTCTCGGTCTCTCATTGCCACCATTTCATCTAGATACGCTCAGTCTCATGGAGTTCTCACTGGTGAGGGTGTACCCATGCCTTTAGCTGATAGTGTAGTTGCTATCTTCATAAGTTCTTGGATGCTAGATAATCACAAAAAGGGCAGGCCAAATATGTAAAAGATGAAATACTGGATAACGGGAGTGGCCTACGTTGAAAGATTCAAACAAAGCTTCATTACATGCTTCTGGTTTTGTCTCTCATCGTTTAACTTATCGTCAATGAAACTTGCTTTGTGGTCCGCATGTTTAGAAACCCTCTGATGTGAATATCGTCTCTTGTAATCCAGAGAGGTACATCCAGCATAACAGCGCTCCATGCTTCTAACACAAGGGACTGTGTCCATGCACTCATCTCCACCCACGTGTTACTTTCCTGGCAGCGAATATAAGCCGGCGCAAAATCAAAATTTGCATGAGAACCAAGCAAGGCACAATGAGTATTCGAATCCCCGTTGGGTTATTAGCTGAATGTAGCGTTTGGTGTCTGCAATGGCAGTTTACACAGCTAGGTGCGTTCAAATGTCCACAGGTCTGAGGTCCCAGAAGAGTGAACCGCTTAACCATCCCGGATACATCGTCACATATAGTTGAAAAGGTGACGGAAAGCAGCGCCTGACACCCTTTACATCACGCTCAACAGTTCTCAAGTCTATAAGAATCTCTGTGTGTAGGTTGTCGAATTACATCTTGGAATGGGCTGCGAATTCTAATATTTTACACAAAGACGTCGCAACCAATACATTGTCTGTTTGGATGTCTTCTCTGGCGATAAACGCACAGTCTTTATATAAGTCTCTCCTCCTAAGAAGAGACGGTTAACAGCATCTGAGCGAAGGCTGCTAAAGAGCAGGAACGCTGGTTCTGAAGCTAGGTAGCCTATCATGCCACCGATGCAGGGGAGTATAAAAAGAAGCCGCCCGTTTCACCCATCAACATCTCATCATGGAGGCACAATCATACCGTTTGGTTGGTAATTGAGTTATCATTCCACAATTCTTTGTTATCATAGCTCAAACAACATGATAATGCAAGCGGTCACCTCCCCGGCCCCAGGACTTTCTCACATATTGCTTGTTGGCGGTGTGCCTTGACACCTCTGCGCAGTGGGATCCCAATAACACAAGAACAATGCTGGAGACTGGTGCCCAGAGTCCAGAAAGCAGACAGCGCCACACACTAACTGAGAGAACACTTCCTCCTGGGCTAGAAACAAAGTGTTCCGGGGAATTTCACATCGGATAAGGAACACTACCACCATCTGATTGGAGTGAGCAAAATAATCTTTGCAGTGGAGCACTTAAATGTATGTCTTGTTCATCGTCGACGACTTGATCGTAGCCCCAGAGACTCTCTCGTATTGATCTTATGATGTTCCAGCTCCAGCGGCGCCGTTCCTGCAGCCCAGTTCAAAGAAGCTTTCGAAATTACCCTAGGCTCAACTTCCTGAGTCTCCAGTGACAAACTAACAGACTTCAAAATCGTACCATCAAGGTAAGGCCGCCGTAAGCTCCTGTAGTGAAATCAGAAGCAGTAGGGGAAACGACGAAGCTTTCCATTCATGCCGATAACCTGGGAACGTCTTGCCAGCTTAGTCTTCACAACATTGTAGACGAAATACCTAACATCGGACCGCAGTATATTTGAAAAGCAGGCCAGTGAGTGTCAAGAGCGTACATAAATAAAGCCTAAGTTCCTCTCATTAAGTTGCAGAGCAAATAAGATTGTCCCCGATCCGTGACTCAGGATCAACCGCCGCGGTAACAGTCGTGGGGTCCATGATGGACGGCTACCTGATATGGGAAGCCAACACCAGCAGCACCCATAGAGAATGAATGAGAATGAATAACCGACGAGTGCCGCAGGGTAGCAAGGTTGGCGGACGAACAGTCGTCACCCGGTCCTCCCGGCCTGAAGGGTTACAGATGTTGCTTTTGCCTGGGGTCGAGAATAAATCTTGGGCCTGCTAGACCTAAATTGCTCCAAGAGTATTGATTGCCAGGTTCTGGACATAGCCTAGTCTCTTGGACCTTAAATACCGGCACATCATTCAACACCAACAACAAACGCACGCCTAGTAGATGAGTACAACCAGTATGAAATTCGTCGTGCCATCATCTCGCTGCATGTTGCTACATCCTTGGTATACACATACACACCTCGCCTCACCTCACTAATCCAAACATACACAACCCCCATCCAGCCCACTCACTCACAGTGACCTCGGCAGAAGAGAGGGGATGAAAGAACCTGTTTGTTTGCTTGTTTCGGGACGTCGATTCGTGAACCATTGTGCTGCTGCTTTGTTGTATTTGGTGCTTTTTGTGTGTGTGCTGTCCACCCTCAAACCCAATCCATCCATGCCCCCCGCCTCCTGTCGCCGCAATTACCACAATGTATCCCTCACTCTCCATCCTGTCGCTTCCTCGAAGAAAACCGGCTGTTGTGTTTTTTTATTTTCTCTTGCGCTCGAGGGCATCCATCTTCTCCTCCAATGCCTGGACGTAGTTGGTCACGCGCTGGACGGCGGCCTGGAGTGACTGTGGCACAGAACTACCGGTTAGCTTTACTTGACCCTTCAAAGCGCTGGAAGCCAGAATATTGAAGACGAGAAGGGAGTTCTCGAAAATAAAGAAACACAAGATGCGCCACACTGGAAGGGCAGAGTCTACTAAAGAAATATGGGAAAATGCCCCCTTCTGCAGCGTGCAAGAAAAGGATGTTCAACCGGCTCCTCTGAAACCCTCGGATAGAGGAAAGAGAAAGACAAAGAAGAGACATGCAGAGAGCCGGCGCGGGGGCACATCGGGAGTCAGAGAGAGACAATATCAGATGCAAAGACGCACGTAGATATCCTCCGTCAGGAGCTCGTTCGAGGTCTTGTATTCTTGGAGGAGGTACGAGTAGACGCCGGCGCCGGCGAGGGAGCTGCCGAGGAAGAAGCCGAAGAGACTGCGAAAAGCATTGAGGTCAGCACTGCATCCATCTCCTGTGAGCATCAGAGCCGTATGGCGGCGTCTGCGACTGCGCACGGCACGTGAGGCCAATTGATCCCCCCTAGCGGGCATGACGTAGGGCAGCTGGAGGCGAACTCGACGAAGCTCGGCCAGACGGGGGGAGGGAGGACACTCACCCTCCACGGAAGGCACCGACGGGTTTCCGGGCAGGCAGAGGAGCGGCGGCGGCGTCGCGCAGGGCGGAGGAGGTCTGGAAGGAGCGGGCGGCGCGGATGGGCAGGCCGGAGGCGCGGGGGAGCGCGCGGGAGAGGATGCGGGAGGACATTGTTGCGTCGTGTGTCGTCGGGCGTTCGATTCGGGTAGGTTTCGTGTGCGTGCGACCGGGGCGAGAGGTGAGTTCTGGTCGCTCACGAGGTTTGCTCGGTTCTGTGTGTCGTGGTGAGGAGGAAGAAAAAAAATAAGAGCTCGCAACCCGGTGGTGGAGGCAAGATGGGATGGGGGGGTGTGGTGTATGCAATGGAGGTTGGAATTGCAGGTTCGGGTCGGTCGTAAATTGGGCGGGAGGGAAGCTATGGTTCGGCTAATGCTTGTTGCGCAGGTAGGTAGTCGGTGCTGCTCGTCCCTCTGGCTTGGCTCTGCCGCTGCGCCGCCCATTACCTCAGGTACCGTTGTCCTCCGTCAGCGCCGGCCACGGCGGGATTAGCCGGGAAGCCATTGGGCACAGCCCATTGGTCAGAAATTTCGAGGTTTTTCGGTGTCTGGGGGATTTGCTGTCTGGGGGTGGTGGCTTCATGGCCCACTGAAGGGGGGTTCGGAAGGGGTGCGTCTCTTACAAAGCTCCGGCACTTGGTCGGCGTTTTGCGACCTGGGAAAGACCATGATGACGTCTTGTAGGTGAAGAATCGAATGGCAGTTGCATAAGTGTCGAAATTGGGGCATTATTTGACTTTTCACAAAATATCTCGTAGCTATTCTTACTACGCACTCATAAGGAGCTCTCAATTGCTGTCGCCAGCCACGCCTCATTGGCCAAAATTACCACATCGCCAATTTCCTCTACTCTGATTGGTCACAAAAAAAGTCGAGCTTCTTGACCACCTACCCAGACGTCCTGCACCAACGCTCAACTTTAACATCTACACACCCACCCCCGAAACCAAAAGATGAACAACTTCGGCGTCTACGAGCTCGCAAGCGCAAAGACGACATCCGCCCCGGGATGGGCCTACGTTCCCGACACGGGCGTCAACCCCGCCGCCGCCGCCCTCCAGCCCGCGAACCGCAAACGCGCCGCGCGCACCAAGGCGAACCCTTCCGCCTCCGACCTCAACGTCCGCCAGGAGGCCAAGATCCGCAAGGAGCTCGAGGCCTTGGACAAGGACTGGGGCCGGGACGCGACGATTCCCATCCCCGCCAAAGGGGGTAGCAGAGGTGAGCTTCTTCCTTTCCTAGTACATAGACACCCCCGGCTTACCACAAACGACCAAAAGCAGCCCAGACGAAAAGCACACCGAACGTCCGCAAAATCCTCCAGTCCCAAAAGACATTCTCAAACCACCTCGACGACCACCTCGCACACATCTCCCACGCAGAAAACACCCCCGCGCCGCACCCGAACCAGCACACCGCGAAGCCCGCGAATAAACCACCCCACCCGAACCAACACACAAAGCGCAATGCCGCCAAGCGCTCAAAGACATCCACCCCAAAACCCGCACCCGCACCCGAGCCAGAAGACGTCGAAATGGCGCCCGCGCCGCCTGCCCTCGGGGATTCTTCAGGCGGCGGGCCGGTCCTCGCGCCCTACGACAAGCCGCTCCCGCCAGCGCACCCGGGCGACGAAGACCCGCTGCTCGTCTCCCGCGTGCCCGAGCCCCCGACGGACGAGGAGCTGCGCTGGCTCCTCGCGCAGCCGATGCTGAGCTTCTGGGACGCGCGGGCCGAGTGGGCTGACGAGGACACGCGGTACCCCGAACGGACGTTCTGCGAGGTCTGCGGTTACTGGGGGCGGGTGAAGTGTATGAAGTGCGGGACGCGGGTGTGCGCGCTGGACTGTTTGGAGACGCACCGTGAGGAGTGCGCTACGAGGTATGGGTATTGAGGAGGGATCCACGGATTGTGTTATAAGATCTGGTATTTTTTATGTTTTTCACGCAAGGAGGTTCTGGGAGCTTCGAGATGGCGTTCATGATACCCCACATCAAATTGTTTTGAGAATGGAACGAATTGTTTTGACTTGAGCCCGTGGATTGATTCATCAGTTCCTAACGGAATGCTTTTGTACATGTAAAGACGACCTTCTGGCCACCGTGATATATACAGCCGAAGCTTCAACCAAGCCGACCACGGCTCGAATCCTCCAACAGGTGTTCAGATCTTCTACCGTCCGAAGAGCCGAGCCACGGCACAGCCAGAGCAAGAGTTCCTAACCAAAGAAAACCCCTCCTCGAGAATATAAAAATGTGTCGAACAGAGAAAAATGAAAAAGATACACACGCCTTGCTCAACGTCCCCTCACCCGCCGCCAGAACATTTAGGCTTGAAGCTGTATTACAGCTCGCCAGACGGAGGCATGGCCTCGAGGATGAACTCGACGTCGCCGGAGGTGGCGCCGCCGGAGCAGGTAGCGCGGACGCTGCCGGTGGGGCACTTGTCGCGGGCGGCGCGGACGCACTGCTCCCACTTGTTCTTGGAGATGTTGATGGTGGCGCCGGCAGTCGTGGGCTTGATGGTGAAGCGGGCGGAGCCGGACTGGCCGATGGTGGTGGACGGGTTGCCCTTGCAGGCGGTCGCGGAGCCAGAGATGCCGCCGCAGATGGCGAGCTCGGCTGAGTTTGCGTCGTGGGAGACGATATGGCTGGGATGTGTTAGTACGTGATTGACCAATGTAAAGGTGTAGCGGGTATCGGTGTTAAGTTGGAAGGTGGGGTTCGGGCGTGATGATGGGAGGAAGTGGTGTAAGTGAAAGACATACGCGTTGCGGTCGATGCACGTCGCCTCCAACACGGCGGCCGGGTTGACCTCCGTCTGGGCGCGCATGCCGAGGACCTCAAAGTGCTGCTGGGGCACGGTGAAGCGCGGCCAGTGACGGTGCTGAGCCGGGGCGGCGAGGGCGGCCGTCGCGGTGAGGAGGAGGACGAAGGTGTGAACGAGCATGGTGAACATTGTTGTTTGCTGTCGTTGATGTGTGGTGGTCTCGAAGTGTTTCGGGTTTGGGTGTAAGTGAGGTTGAGGTTCTGAATCGTTCTCGAACAAGCCACTGATTCTCGAGTCCTTCTCTGCGAGATCGTTTCGTTTCGTTTCGGTTGCAAACTCGGAATGTCTCTTTTCTTTTTCTTCGTTCAGGTGGCTTGACTTCACTTGCGATGGTATTTCGAGAATGACTGAAAGTTGCTGGGACGTTTTGACTCGTTTGGATGCTTGTCGAAAAAAAAGAACAAGGTCAACCTCTCGGGAGGGAAAGAATGGAAAAACGGATCACAGATCGTCGGTTGGGAAAGAAAGAAAGGAAGTGACGGTCAATAGACTGTCTTGTTTGCGTGTTTGGCTGGAAAAGAATGTGGGAAAGTTCACGAAACAATTCAAAGATGGAAGGAGAGAAGAAGGAAAGGGAGCCTAGGAAAGGACGCACGATGAAGGAGGAAGGGCAAGCCACTAAGTAGTGGTTAGCTTGTAACACAATCTTCAAAATTTCTCCTTCCTTCCTTCCTTCCGTCCCTTGGCCCTTTCCTTCCCGCTCACACTAAAGTCTGGGATCTGGGGAGGGGAGGGGGGTGTGGCCTTGGCTCAGCCGATGGTTATTTTCTTGCAGTTGAACCCGTTTGGCTGTTCAGGTTCCCAAATCAAATCACGCCAGACCCCGGTTCCCAGGTTTTTTTTGGACCGGGCTTCTCCATGTTTGCGCAATGAAAAGGGTGGCCACTGGCAATCGGACTGATGGGGCCACGCCGATATGGGATGGAGTCCACCACCTGCCTCCCCTGTCGGGAAGGTAAGTCAGACGGATATTGTTCATCAGTCATGTTGTACCTGTTGTAACTGCACAGATGGCGCTGGCGTACCTGCGATACGCAAGCGCAAGCACAAGATCACCAATGGAGAATTCGAACCGCGCGGACGTCAAGCTTCTGACGACACGCATCGCGGCTGTGGAGAAGGGGAGCCAGGTTTGACTTGACACTTGGCGTGGACTGAGAGAGGTCGTTGCGCGATGGTGGCTTGGGGCCGGCAGCTTCGAAAGTCGCAGGTTCACGACCTGTCTTTTTTGGCAGGTTGTCCCCATTAACCTTAGTACCGTTAGGCTAAACCTCGAGTCACCACCTCATTGGGCCTGGAGCCCAAGGTCAGGGGGGCTCTTTAGTCGCTATCCCGGATCGACGGTTGGCGCTGGGCTGGTGCTCTCGGCGCATGAGGTTCGATAGGTTCGATAGGTTCGATACCGGGCGGTGCGCGTGCAGGGGTCTTCCTCTCTGGACGTCATGTCATGGGCAGGAATTCAGACGGGGGCAAGGGGACGGTGATGAGCGCAACCGACGTCGAGCACGACACTGAGAGTTGCGGAAGGTCGGGAAGCGGAAAGGGGGAAGGGGAGGAACACAGGAACAAGTTTCGGTGATCACTCGCAAGGCCAGCAGGCGGCCACAGGCGTTACTCACAGGCGGGCCAGTTGTCTTCGGCGGCGCCCATCCGGAGTCGCAAAGTGAAACATGGGCCCCCCATGCCGTTCGGTTCAGACGACGAGGTGCCATTTTAAGGCTTCTGAAACTCGAGCGGTGGGGCCATCCCGGTATTCCCGCGAATCTCCACCGTCTGACAAGAACACTGCAGGCTCGCACTTGGGTCCCTCCAGCGCGGTAGCGACTACCACCTACCGCAGTCGTGCGTGTGCTCCGGGGATGCGCAGAGGGGAAGAGGAATCGGGCCTCGACCTCCCTCTTTTGGGCTAACTAGTTTCGCGACCTCGAACGTTGGAGCTATCACCAACCACAAGTGCCGCGGGGTGCGCGATGATGTGACGAAGGGGATAGCGAAACCCTTGGCTGAGGCTTAAGATAGCTTGGCTATCCCGTTCTGCTTTGCTCTGGTTATTGCGTGCCTGGGTTGGTTGGCTGATTTGTGGTGGCTGATTCGCTGTAGCTTGTCAATAGGATGCGCCGCGATATAGAGCAGATCCCCGAGAATAGGCACAGAGTGCAATCCATCTGTGACAACCATGCTGAAGTCACGTCTGTCCAAGCTTGCTGATCTTTTGTTTATCAGACACCTTAGCGAACCTTGAAAAACCCAAAGTCCCGCACGCGCCGTCCATAGCTCCCGGCATTCTGGGTTGTATTCAATTGTCATCGAGGAGGCGGCGCAAACGTGTGCGTGTGTGCAAACAAAGTACCGAGAAGCCCTTACAGGAGGAGCTCTTGGCCCTGACAATCCCGAACAACTCCTCCTTTTGATATTTCTTGTTTCATTGCCCTTGGCTGCGGTAGAAAACTTGAAAATGTGTCCTCTTGGCTTTTAGGTGATTGTGTGTTGTGAAAGGCCCGCAAGCAAGTCATTTTTCGTAAGACCTTGCGAGAAGAACGTCAATCCGGCAACGCAGCGCCGGTCGGTATTTCGCAACAGCCCACTTCAAAAGGCCCTGCTCCATCGATCGGCTCTGGTCTGGTGGTTCCTTTTTTCCTTCTCCATGTTTCGCACAGATTAAGCCGCTGGACGCCCCTCTCTTGAACCAGCCCAGGGTGTCGGTTAGAACTTAGGCGAACCGCTCTTCAGCGCACTGCGGACGCTGCGGACGGTCCGGGTTCCACAGGGACCAGCCCAGCCGAACTTTACTTGAAGACTTGACAAGTGAGCCTCAAATACTGTCTTGGGCTGAAGCTTTTTTCTCGTAAATTGAGTACGAACTTTGGGGACGGAGGAGGATATCGTTTCCCAGAATAACAGGTTGATAATCTATCGCGAAAGTGAAGGACCCGCTGCCCTGCCAAGAAAATGAGCCTTATGGCCCGTCCCCTTAGTCAGTCCTGCAGGGGGCGGATAGTGATTGATATTAACATGCGTTCATAGCCTCATAGCTCATGACTTTTTCCTTTCCGCCATCCTGGCAATCAGTTTTCCTGCATGTTGTTCATCGAGAAATCAACGTGATGCTCTATTGGCAAAGCACCCGAAAACATTTGTCATGAATCTTCGGAGGCGACCAGTTGCTAGCTTGAATCAGTTTTGCTTCTTTCTTTGGCCGCATAATCCGCAGACCCCGAAGTCGCCGGGGTTAACATGTTGAGTGCTATGGCACATCTCACGGTCGCACCGCCAGGAGTTCGGCACGCTTGCCGGGTCGAACACGTGGGAGCAAATCTCGCAGGTTATCGAGAGGAGCGGGTTCTCAAAAGAGCACACTCCACAGCGGATATACGAAGGCGCTGCTCTTGTGTGATCGGTAACTGATAACGGGCGCGTCGGCGAGCTCGGACGGCCGGTTGACAATGGCCGCGAATCGTCATCTGCTTCTCTCTTGACCGGCGGTGGTGCGCTCTCAATGTCCGAGATCGGCACTGGCTCGTCTTCAACGCCTTCTTCCTTTTTGACTATCGGCGGGGTTTCTTGCTTTGAGGCTTGATCCGTCGTGGTCTTTCGCTTCTCTTGCTTTGGCTTATTTGCTTTAGCTTGAGATGCCGATGCCGAGGGCTCGTCTTCGCGTTTGAAACTGAGATGTGTTTGTCGCCACTGTTTGACGGACGCGCGCAGCTCCTGGAGCTCATTCTGCGCATCCAGATCGTCAGGGTTCTCGTCCTCGCAGACCTTTATCATCCCGCGACCCTTGCCGTCAAGCATCTTCTTGCCATCAATATCAACGGCATCCTCGGACTTGACATCCACCGGGTCATCCTCGTACTCGCTCTCCGTGCTGTCCTCCTCGTTTTTGACTGTGAAGTCCTCCTGGGGTTCCTTCTTCTGCTGGTCGAAGCGCGCCAATGCTGCCGCTGCTCGTAATTCGCGACCTCTGGCACTCCCAGCCACGCGAGGTTTTGCCTGAGTGCGTTTGCCGCCCTCCAGCTTGACCTTCGTCTCCTCATCCGCACCGAGCGCAACGCCGTTTGCGCCAAA